ATCCTAAAAATATAGTTTAAAATAACAGTTATTAGATTTAATATTATTAATAAGTTTTTTAATTTATTTTATAAAATGTGATGTATCAGAAGTGATAATATGACCTATAATTATGATAGCTTTGACAAAGCACGAGAACTTGCAGAGGTGGATGAAAGAGTAAATATTAATATTTTAAGGGAAAATAATACTGATACTAATATAGATAGCAGTAATATAGTATCATCTTCAGTGTTCGATCTTGAATCTGGATTAAATGACGAGAATGAGTATCTTGTCAAGAATACCACTAGTAATAAATTTAATCAGCAATTATTGGCTTGCCAGATTCTGAATTTTATTGATGGTAACATTAAATGCTATAGAGACCATTCTGAAAAACAAAGACTACTTGCCCAACTCATTGGAGCATAAGAAATAGATTCCAAAAATTTTCAATAAGCTCAGGCATTAAAAAAGATATCAATAATGGGGGTCTGTCAATCGCATTTCCTTTTTGACCAAAATCAACTTCACAATGCACATATTAAAAAGAAAAGATCAATTGAAGAAAGTTGGATATTTTGCCAAAGATGCCTGTTTTGCTACAAATGCAAATATTTTTTTAGCAGAAGTAGAACCTGTGTACAGTATTCATGATGTGTATTTGGAAAAAATATCTAAATATCCTGTATAGATCTTATGACTTGCCCTATATTTGATAAGAAGGAATCAGATAATAATACAAAAAATCAAAGAACTGAATACCAATCTAGATATGTATATTCAGAATGTTTTATCAAACAGAAAGGCCACTTCTATGAATGACAGAACTGTGGAAGCCCAAAATTTGAATGTAAATGTTTACATAAAAATGATGCGAATAATGGACTTCGAATTTTGGATTACTGGATTTTACGCATGGTCAAAATAACTGATGAGAGTAAAAAAATAGTTTTCTTGATGTGTTTGGTTTCTATTTTGCCAACATTTTTTGACATCAAATCATTTCCAGTAACTGCAAATTCACCTATCCTTCTTTTTGTTAAAATAGTTTTAAGACTGGAACATGTTAATTTGGCAAATATTGTAGATCAAAAGTTCAATTTTACCTCTGAAACAGCTCTAGATTTGGGAAAAGCATTGGGAATTGCAACATGAAATGTATGACATGAAGTTCGAAAAAAAAAATTCTTGAAAATCCAAGATCATTAACAGAATATCAAGATGGTTTTTCATCATGTATCGCTAATTTTTTTAATGAATTCATTGAAACCTTACAACGAAAAAAACATGATGTACTTGTAAAAAAAAGAGCACAAAAGAACTTATCTTTAAAAGTCTTTAACAAGGATCATGTAACAAAAATAACAGTATTCCTTGTTTCAATGATATTAAATGTTGCATTTCTGGGAATGAATATATGGTTGATCCACATGATGAGTTTTTTGTGTAGAAAGCCAAAACTATATCATTCCCTATATAATATACTTTGCATCACCAATATAGTGTCACATATGCAACTGCATGAGAGAATCCTTGAAAAGATTCAATGGCATGAAGCAAAGCCTGAAACAAGGTTATTATGTAGTGAATATATATGGAATGTTTTGGTTATTGATAATATTGATTTTCTAAAAAAAACTTTTGCAAATAGAAATATTTATGATGTAGTGTAAAGAACTGCACATGCTACATTGAGAATGGTTTTCCAGTTCACAATGCCTATGCAACTGTGTTGTTGCAATTATATAAATATTACCAGCTCTCATGAAACTAATCTGTCTCTTTTTGTAACTTCAACTTATACTAATAATCTCCTTGAAGCTTATGAGATGGCATTTTAGAATCTTTTGTTTTCAGAAATTGAGAATTAGGACGTGAACAGCATTCTTAATGAAATTTCTAAAAACATTCCAATTGGGTGCCAGGTGCTACCTCCCAAAGTTGTGATACTTAGTCCTGGAAATAACTCAAATTGTAATGCAAATATTCATAATATGTGTGATTTATTTTACAATGATATAGGAATATATAATACTGGATGTTTAGACATAGCTTGTGACCAAGCAATTTTTCATAGGTTGATATCATATAAAGAAAAAAATAAAGATGCAAGGCCTTTGTTAGGTCAATGGCATACGTCAAAAGATATGTGTGTTGTGCTAATAAACATTTTTTTAGGTTATGGTATTGCTAATATGGCTGTAAGTCTCGGGGTTTGATTTTTAGATAAAATTGAAAGTATTGTGGATTATTAGGCTAACAGTCGAGTTTTAGAATTAATTTGGGTCACTATTGGCATCGCAATCTGCAAGTATTTGCATAACAAAAATCAAAAATTGAATAATATTGAAAATAGTCAAAATAATGTACTCAGAGTTTGTTATCATTATTTTTGCTAGATTGGCTATTGGATTGGATATAAGATCAGTATGTGTTAAGAAAACTATGAAATGCAAATAAAAAATCTCGTTGTATTTGCACCTCTCTTCCTAGTTGCTAGTAAAATTAACTATTCTAGCTTAGTAACCTACTTCTTAGCTTATGTTAATAAAGATCCACATCTACAAGAGTTACTATGATGTGTTTGTTCCATTAATTTAACTCAACTTGGACACTTCTTCACTTTTGATAAAACATTAGAATGTTTTGGAGTAATGTTTGTGAAACAAAATATCAGAGGTAAGATAGTAGACTCAGAGGAATTAAAGCTTCAAATTAGTTCTGCACAAGCAGAAAAGAAACGATTAGAGTTGTTGATTTCTGAGTATATGGGAGATATAGTTACTGTTAAAGAGGAAAGAACAATGCTATTAAGAAAAGAAGCCTTGTGGAAATTAGCCAACAAATTATTCTCTGCTCTCTCTTTGCCAGATCCAAAAAGACATGAAATTTTTATGAATGCACCAGAAATGACATTGGCAGGGTTTTATAATATATATACATGTTATGATCTTAGAGTAGCTTGTCTTCAGGAAATTTTGCATCAGGATGTATACAAAACTGAACCAAGAAATACAGAGGGTCGCAGAAAATGTAATGTAGTAGTATATAAACTTATTTCACTATTAAAATACCAGAAAAAAGAACTGGTAAAAAATAAAAGTCTACAAAATAATCAGGTTGAAAATAACATTGTAAGTACTAAACAATCATATGAACAAATAGGCACAAAGCGCCAACATAGGGTTACGAATAATGATAAAAAAAACTTCTTGAGAATTTACTTAAATATGATAACTTTTCTGAGGATAAAGCCATTGAAACTTTAAGGCAACTTCAAGAACAAAGCAATGACTGGGACATGCAATGCATTCAGATATACTGGAATAATAATCAACATAATAAAAAAAAAAAGTTTCTTCTAATATGTAACCTTTGGTAATAATGGTATAGATTTTTATTATTTCAAATTGATGTTCTTTAATTTTACAAAAATTCATACATTAATATGATTTTAAAACATATCATGCTAAATTTATAGGTGTAAATAATAATTTCATTATTATTATATCATTTGTTACTATTTGACATCATAATTTCAATTTAAAGTAAGCAACAAATTGCACATATAAATTATGTCTAAATTCTGAATACTATCTTGTGTAATACCAGGATCTGCAAAAGGGATGTTTAATAGATAAGGTAAAACTCTTATATGTTATCTGAGAACTGTTGATGCAGAAGATACTAATGAGCATAGATTGTTGGACATTGTATCATAAATTTTCAGAAGTTCGTAGGCAAAAATTGAATGAAAAGTAGTTATAGAAAATAAGAATTCAAAAAAGCATTTGTGTGATATTTAAATTCTGATAAAGACAGTAACTCTGATTAACGGCATAAGCCTATAATATAAAATCTGCAAAAGATAAAAAGAAGTCTTCGAATGGTATTTAAGATCTTTTGAAAGCCATGATTTAGCTGAACAAAATAATCTTGGAGATTGTGATCAAAACAGAACTGGTGATGAAAAGAATAAATATGATTGTTCATCGAGAGTATAAGCCTGCATATGTGGATATTGTTAATGCAACTAATAATCAGATATTTCTATCAAAATAAAGTTAGTAATGTTTCATCAATTGCAAAAATTTGCTAAGATGGGTGATGGTGATAAAATGTATAGAGTTGGATTTTATTATAAGTATTAAAAAGGATGCATTTATTAGCTATCAGATATAGGTTACAACATTGAATTAAAGTCAAATATGACTTTATTTACTATCAAAACTATCAAATAAGTAATCTTGGCATTGTCACTCATTGGAAATTAAAATATTATAATATTATGTGTTTCTTCAAAAAAAAAACATAAGTTTATTTATAAATTACACTTTGTTCTAAAAGAACTTCTAATACTTAATACTGTAAAATTATTTTAGTTAAAGCAATAAATTTACCTAATTTTTGAAACCGCAAAACCTGAACTGGCTAGTTAACCAGTTATAACTAATAACTAATTATCAATATTTTCAATTATAATTTTATTACTTTAACATTAAAACTTTACAATATTATCATTATCGTTATGTCTTATCATAAATTTTGTTAATATTTATTAAAATATTTTAAAATAAACTATTCAATAAAAAAAATTTATAGATCTTAACAAAATTTTTTAAAAATATATTATTAAAGATTGTTATATAAAAGATAATTTAAAGCAATATTTTATAATGATAACTTTTTTGTAATTTAAATTCATATCGATATTGATATATATATATTAAGCAAATATCCAAACAATTGGTTTATTAATAGTTTAGAAGAGTTAAGAAAGAAATAAAATATAACACCTAATGCTAATAATGCTAAATTTAAAAAAATAAAGAAAAGTAATATTACATTGCAGATTATGGAACATATTCAGTGACTGATAACATTAATGATAATGATAAAGTAAGTCTAGAATCTTCAATCTTCTTGTATAGAAACTAAAAAAATGCATAGCATTATGAGTCTGAAGCATATTATATGATGGACATCTTATTGCACAAACATGTGAATGTGCATGTTTTTGCTACACTAAAATTGCAAATTTGAATATGCATGCTGGACAATAATATATCAAGAACAATGTTTGCTTAATACAGTTAGACCTCTCTAATGTTAAGCACACCTTCTATAATGATAGCGATAAGTGCATACTCTTTTTAATACATGCTCAAGTGCTGGCCCAAATACATCTAAGTACATGCCCTTGTGACTATATTTTAATAATGTGTATATAGAAATAATAAGAAAAAGTGCATTTATAAAGGTCAAGTATATATTTGGGCCAGCAATTAAGTATGTATTTAAAGAGGGTGTGTAGTTATAGAAAGTGTACTTAGCTGTATATATTTGACCTCTATAAATACACTTTTTCTTATTATTTTTTATATGCATATTATTAAAGTATAGTTCTAAGAATATGCTAATTTTCAATATGTTATTTTTGTATTATACAGCCAGACTCTAATGCTAAGTGCATCCTTTGTAAAGATAAGTGTATATCATCTTTAAATGCATGTTCAAGTGTCAGCCCAAATTTATACTTGACCTCTATAAATGCATTTTTTCTTATTATTCTCTATATGCATATTATTTAAGTGTAGTTCCAAAGGCATGCACTTAGCATTAGCATTAGAGAGGTCTAATTGTACATATGCATATACATATATGCATACATTTTATACAAAGATTTTTGCTAAGTTTGCATTTATTGATGTAACTTCCCTATACATATTGATATTGATATTTCAAATTTGAGCAAAAATCTCTCATGCTAATTTAAATTTGTAATTTGTGATGTCTTATCATTATTGTTAATGTTAACATTAACATTAAATCCAAATTTTAAAAAATTTTATAAATATAATTCAATTTGCTTTTTCTTTGCTATTGCTATTTGCAAGCTTTTACTATTTCAAGATTTATATTGGACAATATAATGATAATGGCAACTAATATATCCAAAGCTTATAAGTTTAATAAAAAATTAGAAAGAATTAATGTGCAACTTATTAAACAGAACATTAGTAGCAAGCAATTAACAAATAAAGAATTAAAGTTAGAAATATCTTCTGTATAAGCAAAAAAAGAATAATTAGAATTGCCACTCTCTGAATATATTGATAATAAAAAAAAATTGAATGATAATCAGCTTAAAATCA